AGCAAATGGAAATAAAGCAGACCGTGCCAGTTATAGTTCAGAACGTACATGCACTCGAGTCGTCCTATGTTTATCGTGTTTATATTGTTTCACATGTTAATGTTGGGAATAACAATAATATCCACATGTTCGGTTGAGTTGGCTCCTCAGTCTGATAACAATAAGAAGGATGTGTTTTCTGTTCTTAAAGCACTCTCCCTCGAGGAAACTTAAAGGAAGCATAAAGTCTCTTAGCATCCAGTGTCTTAATGCAATCACAAGCTGAGCTAAAAAGGATTTATTACATACTTTATTCAGCAAGGATGCATTAAATTAAGCACAAGTGACAGTAAATCTTTTAAAATATTACAAAAAATAAACTCTTTCAAATAAATGCTGTTCTTTTGAACTTTGTTTATCAAAGAGTAGTAAAAAATGTATGACTGCTTCCACAAAAATATTAAGCAGCACAAAAGAAATGTTTCTTGAGCATCAAATCTGAATATTATAGAATAATTTCTGAATGATCACTTGGCAAATTCAGCTTTGCCATTAAATGAGTAAGTTGCAAAACAATGCAGTTTTGGTGAACATCAGACACTTCTTTCAAAAACATTAAAACAAAACTTAGTGATTTAAATGTATATGTATGTACATGTGTGTGTTAAAAGGGGCTTGTTAGTCATTTTATAGCTTGTTTATTAATTTAGTAATGTAAACTTGGTAATTGATCATGCGCCTGGGTCATTCTGTCGTATCACATCTCTTATAGAGCCCAGATCGGCGTAAGAAGGAGGGTGATGGTGGGAAAGGTGAGGGCAGTCGGCGGCGTAGGACAGCATCTGAAGGAGATGAAGACATTACTCTGAAACGTTTCAAAGGAGCCGGAGAGGGCGCCTCTGACGGCCAGAATGCCAATGGCTCCAACAAGGACACTGAGGCTATGGTAACATGCGTAGAGATGCCGGGAGAGGGAGTAGTGGAGGGAAGAGACGGAGGGGGTGGCGTAGGTGGGAGGGTGACCAGCACCTGTAGTCCAGTAGCTTTGCCAAGTCAAGACTCCTCTAACAACAGCAATTCCTCTCAGCAGGAGCACTCCCACATAAGGAGCACAGGTTTTGTCAAGGAGAATGGCAGTTTTGTCCCAAACCAAGAAAGGATATCATCTTCAGTATCAGTGGTGCTTCCTGCGTCCACTCCAACACCACCTCCATTGAAGCCTGCCCCATCGCCCTTTTCTAACACTTTTCCTTCTTTGGGTCAAATGCCCAGCTTGGTTCCCGGGGCCCCTGCCCCGAAATCATCTTCCACACTCCCAGCAGCCGAGAGGGAGGAGGGAGGTGTCCTTTCAGGGTATCCTAAAACAGCTGCCCTGGTGTCTCTAGGTCCTGTGACCATTTCATCACCTTCCCAAGACAACGCTTCAAGTGTGGCTCTTTCTGCTCCTGTAGAAGCAAACCTAAAGCCCAGTAAATGGGGATCAGCTCCAGAAGTAAGCAAGGTAGGACATTGATGCTTGTATTTGACTTAGGATCTGTTAATTTATTCAAGAATACATTAAAAATGGAATTTATGAATATAAATTAAAACACCACTTCTATGATAAGTTTTGATTCAGAAATTAAAAATATTCTTGTTTTTAACATTTTTGGGTGAAATAAAGTAAAAAAAAAGATATCAGAGTGTATCCTCAAAGTAGAAGAATTATTAAATAATTAAAAAAAACATTACGTAGTTTGGCTTAATGTTTTATTATTTCATAAGAAAAGAAAAACTCTGAAGCAGTTTTGTTAAATAACATTAACATTTAGAAAAAAAGCCAAATCAAAGTCATGTAAAAAAAAAATTTTTTTTTAAATAATATTAATAAAAAAATTGAAATGTTATGATTTTGTCTCCCCAAACCTTTACATGAAACCTACATATTAACATAAACAAAAAGACCATTTTTAATTTGGTTCGTTTTTAACCAGTGTTATTTTAATATTGTTTAAATACTTAAAGTGTTTATTATTATTTCAAAGGAGCTTTTGTTTTTATTTCATTTTTTTTGTTTTAGTTTTTATTTTAATTTGTTTTTGTAATTTTGTTTTGTGGTTTTTAACATTTTTTCCCTTTTTTTATTTTAGCTATTTCATATTTCTATTTATTTTCATTTCAGTATTAGTCATTTTAGTACTTCATCTTATTTTTTTTCAGTTAGTTGCAAAGCATTGTTTCTAATTTATTTTTTCCATCTAATACTTATATTTTATTTTGTTAAAGATTTATTGCAATTACCAAAACGATTTTTAATAGTTTTAGTTAATAATAACAACACTGGTTTTAACATTTTTTTCCCTTTTCTATTTGTGGGCACACTGATTACTCTTTGTCTGTCATTTATTTGGCTTATTTGTATTTCAGACCCCCAAGACCCCTGCTCTAGCTGCTGCAGGATTTGATAAACAGTTGAGTGAGGCAGTGTTTGGGGATGTTCCCACACAGGCCAATGGTTCTTCCCAGGAGGACAAGCCTTTTGGAGCTGCGAAGGAGTCACAGAGGCAGGACTCTGATCCCTCACAGAACCTGTTCTTCCAAATCATGTCCCAGAACCAGAGTATCACGCAAGGCAAGTCAAAGGCCTTCAAGTCCTTGTCCGAGTGCCTGAACAAGGAGCCGCCCAGCCTGTTCAAGCCTGCCGCTCCCTCCGAGGGTTTCAAAAAGGCAGTTGTAGCTTCTGCATCCGCTGGACTGTTTGGTTCAGCACCTGCTAGTGGCCTGGCACCAATGAAAGAGCCGCCAAAAGTGCCTGATATCAAGACTGCAGGCAATGGGATCCTAATGAACAAGCCTTTTGGAGCGGTGGGGGAGGCGCACAGCAAACTTCCAGCCGCTTTTCCCTCAGCCACAGGTCAAGCTGCGAGCTCTGCAGAGGCTCTGAATCCCTCTTTGGGATTAGGAACCAGCGGACTTGGAAGTGCCAGAAATGTGAACAGCTCGAGCCCAGTCAGCAGTTTTGGTCTGCTGGCTGGCAACAAGGTTTCGGAAACTCACGAGAACCTTTTCCTACAGGCCACGAAGGAAACAAATCCATTTCTTGCTTACGGCGGAGCTGTTTCGCACAGCCCTTTTAGTGCATTGTCAACTCCCAAGTCGTCATCTGCGCTGTCCGCGTCTGCTGTCTCACCTTCAGGCAGCTCTGGTCTACTTGGTCAAGATCCTCCTGGTGGTGATGCCAAACCAAATCTGTTCACCATGGCAGAACCTCCTAAGGGAATCTTAGCCCCCCAATTCCCTGCTCCTGCTCTCACGACCACTCCATCGTTCACTTCGGCTGCCCAGGATAGACAACAAATGTCCAAACCAGACAAAGAGGGTTCAGATGGCAGCCCGGGAACTCGCCTCGACACCGAAGGCCAAGATGTGGCTATGCCTTTCGACCAAACCAAGTTTTCTTTGGAGGAACGCAGTCAGTCCATCAAAAGAGATTCAGAGTCCAGTAGCAACAGTGACCTCTCTGATTTGAGCGAGGGGGAGGACAACTCCGGCCAGAGCCAGAAACCTGGGGTTTCCTCAGCCATTGAGGATAAGAATAAGACCCACCCTGTGGCTAAGAGCCGGCCACGGAGCAAACCCATCAAAGGTAATGTGCTTGACTACTGCATGCTGTGTACTTCATGAGTTGGTTTGGTACTCACCCTCATGTCGATCTAAAAATGTATAATAAAGAGTAGATGAATTTACCTGTTCGTTATGATGACATATAATGTCCCCGGCAAACTTTGCAGTCCCATTTAGCCACTTTCTAGCAACCAAACCCACTTTAAAGGGTTGGTTCACCCAAAAATTAAAATTCTGTCATTAATTACTCACCCTCATGTCATTCTGAACCCCGTAAGACCTCCGTTCATCTTCGGAACACAAATTAAGATATTTTTGATGAATTCTGAGAGCTCTCTGACCCTCCCTTAGACAGCAAGGATACTACCACGATCAAGGTCCAGAAACATAGCAAGGACACAGCCGCGTGACGCAGCTGACACAGAATAGCATACGCTGTTTGCGTTCAGTGGATATTCTCCAAAACGGCACCAGGGTGACGCAGAGGAGACAAATTGTTGAATAAAGTCGTTATTTTTGTTTTCTTTGCATACAAAAAGTATTCTCATTTTTGGGTGAACTAACCCTTTAAGGCAAGCCAAAAAAAAAAAAAGCATAATGCTGTAGTACACAGTAAAGGAGACCAGAGGCCATTTTTTTTGAACGGATGTCCATGCCTCACTATGCTGAATAAACTGCTTTTGTGGCAAAACAGCTTATCATTTAATGAATTAACATCTTATCGGCTAATCTTCAACATGTTTGCCATTAAACATTTGTTTTGGATTTTTAGAGTTTATGCCACAAATGCCCTTTTATAAGAGAAGTCACAGACCGTTTTGTGACAGGCAGGATTCAGTTTGCGGTACTTCTCATTCATTTCAATGGTATCCACAAACACTGATTGGCTGTCGCACAACTCTGACAGCTATTCAGTGACGTCAAGGCCGTGATTGGTTCTCAAGGCACACGTGATACAAGTTGGCTATTACTAGACTGCACGATTAATCGAATGCGATTGTCATGTGCATCTTGCCAGTAAAGCAGGTTCTGTGATTAGTAGTAAATCTCCAGAACGTGCTTTCAGATGGAGCAGCATTTACTACACAGAGCCGTAGTTCACTGACAAGCTACGCAAAATCGCATTCATAATCACAGACGATTTAATCGCGCGATTAAGAAATCGTTCTGCGATTATGAAAGCTGTTTGCGTTGCTTCTCAGTGAACTATGGCTCTGTGTAGTAAATGTTGCTACACCTGAAAGCATGTAAAAAATACCACATTTAATAACATGTTTTTACTCCAAACTCATAACGTCAGTTGAGTGTTTGAAATGAATCCTTCTGTGAGATGATGTGGCTTCTTACACGGAATAAGGCACGCAACATATTTCATAGTATTCTAAGCCGTGATAAAGGCTATGTCGATTAGCATTGCATTATGATTGACTTTATTATAATTAAAATTATAATAAGACGAACTCAGATATATGGATATATTGTCGTAGTCGTGTGTTTATTAGTCACGTTGAATTAATCAAAGCAGTTAAATCTTCTGTTTATTCAGCAACGGCTATAAGAATTTCCTGGATTTCTTCTGCAAGGCGTATTTGGAGTTTCAGCGCGAGAGTGCCCTCTGGCCTTTGAATGGAGATTTACTGCTGATCACAGAACCATGCTTCACTGAAAGATACGCATGACATTTGCAGCTTCTGCCTAATCGCGATTTAATTTCGATTAATTGTGCAGCCCTAGCTATTACGCTTTCTCCAGGGGGTACTATGCCACAAGGGGTTATTAGTGATTTTATGTGAAAATATCTTAAGCTTGTGTAATCCACAGAACTTATTTTAAACATTTCATCAAAAACCCATTGAAAAAACAGATTTTTCAGATGATGGAAGCAGAAATGCTCAAATACTAACTTGTTTCAAGGTTTTGGCATACAAAAATACATAATTCTTGCAGGTCTCTATTCATTAGTTTACTGTTTTTGTTTAATAGTTCTGGCCATCCTGCTCTGTCGATCTCTATAGATCTTGATAGACATTCACAGTCATCTGATTTTGGGTTCATGTGTGATTCATCTAGTGGGACAGTCTGTGTTGAAGGACCAGAATAAGGTTCGGCGCTTGAAGCAGTCCGGAGAGTCCTTTCTGCAAGACGGCTCCTGCATTAACGTGGCGCCACACCTGCACAAATGCCGTGAGTGTCGTCTGGAGCGCTACAGGAAATCCCGCGAGGATGAGGACGATGATGATGACCCAAACGTGGCCTGCCGATTCTTCCACTTTCGCAGGTGGATATGATTCAGACAACTACTGGTATGGCTAGCTGAACTCTTGGCTAGGGTGTGAGACTGACATCTTGATTTGTTGTAACAGGCTGGCTTTCACTAAGAAGGGAGTCCTTCGCGTGGAAGGCTTTCTGAGCCCGCAGCAGAGTGACAGCATGGCAATGGGGCTGTGGCTCCCCTCCCTCACAGCACAGGAAGGACTTGACCTGGACACGTCCAAATATATTTTAGCAAACGTGGGTGACCAGTTTTGCCAACTGGTCATGTCAGAGAAAGAGGCCATGATGATGATAGAGCCCCATCGTAAGTAACTGTTTGTTCATTAAAGCTGATTAAAGATTTTATAATCTGAATATAAGAAAGTATCACATAATGCCAAACATTTTTTTTGTATGCAGAAATCTTTATCTAGTTTTATGGACACTCTTAATTTCTGTAAACTAAAAGTAAAATAACAACTAAAATCATTTTCCGTTAATAAGCTTTAGTATTCCTTAAGTTTTTAAGAGCTAAATGTTCAAGATTCCCTTTTTTTATTTTAAATAAATTAATTTACCTGACTCTTCAAGGATTTTTTTTTCACATTTTAAAGTTTTCTATCTCATGAAATATTTTAGAGCTTAAAATTACTAGGAAAATGTATATGATGCAGTTTTATGATTTTATTAATTTAGATGACTAATTTACATTTTATATAATTTATATAATAACATTTTAATCATTCTCAGGAAAAAATAATGGACACCTGAATGGATTGCTCATTATCTGAACAGATGTAGCTTCCATAATCACTGTAATATTAAAGACCTCATTCATGAAATATAAGCAGAATAATTTTGAGTGAATTATTCATAGAAATTCTTATGTGAAATACCACATTAAATTGAATGCTTTTTCAATGAATTTCACATTCTACTCATGTTTCATGAATGAAGCTCAATGAAAAGGGTAAAAAAAAACTCCATTACATACAGTGTCTTATCAGTAAGGAACTTGGAAAGATATTAAAATCTCATATTAAACAAATAATAATAATTATAATAATATTTTTTATTTATATAGCACCTTTCAGAACCTCAGTGTTACTTATTTTAGTGTGATTACTTCAGGGCTAATATAAAGCAAGGTTATTATAGTTAAAACTGTTACTAAAACAAAAGCGTGGAGTAAAAAAGTTGTATTAACTGAAATAAAACATTTGTTTTGCATTATAAATGTACACTAAAATGAAGAGCTAGTGACTATTTCGGTAATAATTAATAAGGACTTGCATAAAATCTGATAATGCCCTGTGATTTTGCAGAAAAAGTGGCATGGAAGCGCGCTGTGAGGGGAGTGAGAGAAATGTGCGACGTGTGTGAGACAACGCTGTTCAACATCCACTGGGTGTGTCGCAAATGCGGCTTCGGCGTTTGTCTCGACTGCTACCGGCTACGCAAGAACAGGCCACCTGAAGGTAGATACAACAAAGGATCTGCCACATTCATGACTAGAAACGTTGTGAAGCTATCATTATGTTTGATGAAGGTGCACTGTCATGTATGTCCATTACAGCATGTCTCTGACTCTCACTCCTGCTCTTTCTGTAGACGAGAGTCCTGAAGAAGACGTGTTTTCATGGCTGAAGTGTGCTAAAGGCCAGCCACACGAACCACAGAACCTCATGCCCACTCAAATTATACCTGGCACAGGTTAGTGCATTTATTCCTGTTCAAAATATGTGAAATCACAGTAACTGGAGCTCAGTTTTATTGTCTCCTTGTGTCCCTTTAGCCTTGTACAGCATAGGTGACATGGTACATGCAGCCAGAGGTAAATGGGGGATCAAAGCGAACTGCCCCTGCACTAGTCGACATAACAAACCCTTGGTGCGGCCCAGTGCTCCAAACGGCCTTTCACAGGCAAGACATCTCCAAAACATTTTAATTGAAAGTAGAATTACATCTATAATGCTCTTAGATCTGTTTTTGGTCTGTTCTCATCTTGTGTCTCATGTTTGGTGCAGTCGGGTGCGGCTAACAGTGTGGGGAATGGAGCCACTTCCACTTCAGCCACAACCCGTCCGAATGGGGAACCTGCAGCGGGTGCAGTAGTCAAAACAGAGCCTGTTGAAGAGGCGGGCAGTGCTGACACAACGTCAGGCACCAGTGGGACAAACAGCAGCACTTCTATCCCTGCTCCCGTCCTCACACCAGCTGCAAAAGATGGCAAGGGCAGTTCCTCAGCCCTTCACTGGCTGGCTGACCTGGCCACACAAAAGGAGCCCAAAGGTGAGACTCAGTTTAGAGCGGTTAACAGTTAGTGGATGGCACATGTGGAAGTACTTTATAACAGTGGTTCTCAACTGCTTTGAATTTACATTTGACCAAAATGATCATGTACTGTTATATATGTTTATATAGTATATATTATTTTGTACATTTAAGAAGAGATATGTTTATTATTGTATTTATAATTTTGGTTTTTGTTCTTTATAATAAACTTTAATAATATTTATTTATTAATATTAATTTATTATTAATAATAATAATAATAATAAAAACCTTTGTTTGTAGAACAACATTCACACAGAAGAAATGCAGCTCAAAGTAAAAAAAATATTACATGAATTGCAAAGTTCTTCAGTGAAACAGATGAAAAATACCATAATTAATGTAACGTGAAAACCAATTTTATATTAATAAAAAACAAAAATTCTATACATGGAATGCATAACAAAATTAATAATTGTAATAATAATAATAATAATATAATAATAATTAAATGTAATTAATAATAGAAGAAAAACATAATACAAAGAATGCATAAATCGGGTAAAAAAAAAAAAAAAGACAATGCATTCCAAAGAAATTTAAAGAAAGTAATTTTAGATAAAAGCTTAAATAAAAGATATGCTTTTAGCTTCCTTTAAAAAAATGGTAACACTTTACAATAAGGTTGTATTAGTTAACGTTAGTTAGTGCATTAGTTAACATGAACTAACAATGACCAACACATTAACAATCTTTGTTAATGTTAACTTACAAATATACTAATGCATCTCTTCACATTAACAACTTAATTAGTTAACACCGGTTAATGCATTAGTTAACATGATCTAACAATGAACTATGCCTGTAAATAGCTTTATTTAATGTTTTGTAATGCTAAAGCCGGGATCACACTGCGATTTTTTTTTTTTTAAAGTCCTTTAGGATTGTACTTGTCGGACTGTACGAACATGATGATCATGTCACACTGGGATCTCAGTTGTCATTAATGTCAGACTGTACGACAGTCAAGACGCGTTAAAAACGGGTGTGTGCAAGAAAACTTGTCCGGAGTTTTACCTTATCAACCCACACACGTTCAGTGACTGTGAGCTGCATTGCACGCTGGGCTGTAATGTATAAGTATATGAATGGTGGCAATACCGGCGTATTCATGCAGAATAGTGCAAGCAGCACTACACACCCACATGAAAACAGCAGCGCAACCGGTGTTTATCATAGCAAAGGCAACGAATCATATGAATTCCGTGAGCAGAGGACGAGAGCGCCGGAGTTTATGCGGTTAGAAGAAATATCTAGCATTAATTCTGATCATGGCTTGTCTTGAAAAATGGAAGACAGTTTGACGTTCGTCGTAGGAGATGTCACACTGCAGGACTGTGCGCCAAATCTTCTGAGACTGCCAGAAGTTCGTCAGAGGTAAAATTTCATAGCAATGGCCATTAATCGGCTGTCGGTGAACATGTCAAACTAACGATCAAAGACTACAGATTTTAGCCTAGGATTATAGGAATCTTTTAGGATTTTCTAAATTTGTCTCAGACGACCAAATCGTGGCCAAAATCGCACAGTGTGAGCCGGGCTTAATTTATACTACATATATACACATAGGTTTATGTAGCAGCTAACACACACAAAGGATGAACAATACTAACTCACCATTTGGCCACTGATTTGGGCTATTGTTAAACTTAATTTGAAAGTGGAAACCATCTGAACATCAACGGAGATGTTATTCATGTTTGTAGACTGACTAACCACTAACAAAGTATTTACTAAGGGAATTGTAAAACCTTATTGTAAAGTGTACACTAGTCCAACATTAACTAATGTGTTACTAACATTTCTAGACTGTTTATTAGGGCTGGGTTTTGACACAAATTTCACGATTCGATTCTCATTCACAAGCTTGCTATTTGATTCGATTACCGATTCGATTAGATTCAATTATTCGATTCGATTATTTTGGATATATATCAGGTACAGTACATGCCAAATTTTCTCAAGGAAAAAAAAATCTCTCAACTAATGCTGTAAAATATACATGAGAGTCAGTTGGTACTACATTACTATAATATTGAAGGTTAAAATTGGCTGATTTGTAGGCTAATATACAACTGCTAAAATTACACTTAATGAAGTTTTTAAAATAATAAAGTTACAATTAGCTACATAATAATACTTCTACTTCAGTTCGTTTTTTTATATAAACATAATGGTGGCTGTCATAAAAACTTGATGGATTTATTCAAACATAAATGAAACATTGAAGAACAGTAAAAATGATAAT